AACAATATGTTTACCAATATTTTTTTTTATAATTTTTCTGCTCATCCCAAAGACTAACTAAAGTTTCACCAGTAAACAATGCATTTACCAATTTTTTTTTATAATTTTTCTGCTCATCCCAAAGACTAACTAAAGTTTCACCAGTAAACAATGCATTTACCAATATTTTTTTTATAATTTTTCTGCTCATCCCAAAGACTAACTTTATGTTTGCTATAAACAAATCATGTTTTACTAGTATATTATCCATTTACTGATTGTTATACATTTCCTTTGTCTTTTTACCTGCTTTGTTTTTGTACAGGCCTTGGTTGCTGATTTTTTATATCATATCGAGCTTTTAAAACAGATATGAAGTTTAAATATGACTGGATACAGCAAGAATTATAATTTTTATGTCACAGTGGTTTAATCAATAGTTTATGGTTTCTAATCTGAACGAAAGTATTTGCATGTTAAATTATATATATGTTTGAAAGCCCCAGAAATAATTTGCCAAGTAAGGTTTTGTTACATTCAATGTGTATGGTGGGATAATGTTAGGTAATTTAATGACTCAAATCCTTACTTACTTACTGAATATTATTTGTATGTTTATGTTATTCAAATAACATACATAAATTGACTAACTGATTACATGGTTGTTTCTAATCTAATCATATATCATTATTATCTTAAGTAGCAATAGTAAATCACGTTTTCATTATCTGATTTTCACACATCAATGGAGATTACTGCCTATTTTAAAACAAACAAAATGCTTACCACATGGTCATTTCAACATTAACAGTTCGTGAAATAGTAAATGTTCAGATTATTTTTTTAAAAATTGTGCCAAATGTTTTTACCATTTTTCTTAACTACCTGGTGTGAGATGAATGGATTAGTTTTTGTCTTCTTGCGAGATTAATCGATAACTTGAATATAATCAGTTAATGAGCCTAATAATTAACCAGTTAGCACATTTTACTAATTGTTCTAACCACAACACACTGAGAATGTTTTAAATTAATTCTTAAGTTTTTGTTTATGAAAAATTGTTTACACAAAATTAATATTCTTACAAAATAAACTGGAAACGTCATTGTTTATTTTCATATTGGAAAAAAATCGATTTCTTGTTAAACATTTAAAAAAAATTAGCTATTCATCACAAAATTATTTAAAGTTCTGTTTAGTAGTAACTTCATTGTAAAAAAAAAAAATCTTACTTTTTCTCTCTCATGTAAATAGGTAGTATAATATGGTCAGAGTCTCTGTTCTGAGCTGAAGCAAGTTCGTATCTATTAAAAAGAAAATTTTGGTATGTGTAATATATACCACTAATACAATTTGACGTGACATTGAAAAATGTTATCATAAGATCCAAGATTAAAAAAGGTAAAAAAATGAGAATTAATATAACAATCTGCAATACAGCACTGTAAATAACGTTTATTACCTGACTTACGTTCGAAGAGTAGTTACCAAAACCAATGAGCTGCCTTTAATGTGATGAATGTTTCAAGGATGTGTGTTTTTTACTAAATGTAACTTATCATGCACTACCTAGAAGTCATATTTACAATTAAAAACTAACAAAGATACGTGAAGGAAAGCACATTCATTACACCAAGAGATATTACTGAACAAATATGACTTCTAGGTAGTAGCAACCATTAAGAGGTTTGTATCTTTGTTAGTTTTTAATTGTAATATCTCTTGGTGTAATGAATGTGCTTTCCTTCACTTATGGTTGAGACCTCAATACTCGTATGCTGCTGATATACGACCAACTCTAGGACAGGGAATGTTTGAGATTAAAAAATCCACAAACTACTAATGTATAAGTAATTCAGTTTACTGCACATGTCTTTTTATTAAATGATTCCAGATATATCCAATTTAATTAAGTACATCAGGAAATTATTTTGAGAAAACGTGCACGTTTGTATGTGGAATGTAGTACTTTCTGATATGGACCTATTAATCCTCACAGACTTTTATGTATGTAAAATGTAGTACATTCTGATATGGACCTATTAATCCTCACAGACTTTTATGTATGTAGAATGTAGTACTTTCTGATATGGACCTATTAATCCTCACAGATTTTTATGCATGTAGAATGTAGTACTTTCTGATATGGACCTATTAATCCTCACAGAGTTTTATGTATGTAGAATGTAGTACTTTCTGATATGGACCTATTAATCCTCACAGATTTTTATGCATGTAGAATGTAGTACTTTCTGATATGGACCTAT